AAAACAACAACAACAACAAAAAAAGAAAGCAAGAAAGAAGACTTAAACAAATGAAATCAGAAATGAAAGAGGAGATATCACGATTGATACCACAGAAATACAAAGAATCACAAAAAGATTACTATGAACAGTGACACAGCAACAAACTGGATAACCTAGAAGAAATGGATAAATTCCTAGACACATACAGCCTATGAAGACCAAATCATGAAGAAATAGCAAATCCGAAGGCTGGCAACAGACAGGGAGATTGGATCAGCGATACAGGGTCTCTTATCTTCCTCAGCTCTTCAGGTGTCACCACTGAACTCCACCAAGCATTTAAAGAAGAACTGGCACCAATCCTTCTCAAACTTTTTGGGAAAAATAGAAGAGAAAGGAATACTTCCTAACTCATTTTACAAGGCCACCATTACCTTGATACCAAAGCAAGGTAAGGAAATTACAAGAAAGGAAAACAACAAGCCAATATCTCTGACGAATGTCCTCAACAAAATACAGTAGTAACAACTGAATTAACAGCATATTAAAAGGATAATCACCATGTCAAGTTGGATTTATTCCTTGGATGCAAGAATGGTTCAGCAAATGCAAATAAAAATGTGATATATCATATTAACAGAATGAAAGGCAGACATCATATGATCAGGAATAAGACAAGATTGACTATTTGGATCCCTTTTATTTCTTTCTCTTGTCTAATTGCTTTCAGAAGCACTTCCAGTACTACATTAAATAGAAGTGATAAAAATAGTCAATGAGGTATCACCTCACACCTGTTAGGATGACTATGGTCAGAAATACAAAAGGTAACACATTGGCAAGGATGTAGAGAAAAGGGAATCCTTCGACACTGTGGGTAGAGATGTCGACTAACACTACCATCATGGAAAACTATATAGAGGTTCCTCAAAAATCTTTGCATTGCCATATTACCCAGCAGTACCACCTTGGGTATATATCCAAAGGAAATGAAGTCATGTGTTGAAGAGAGCCCTGTGCTCTTGTGGTCACTGCAGCATTTGTCACTGTAGCCAAGTTATGGAATCTACCTACATGTGCATCAGCAGATGGATGGATAAAGAAAATGTATGCTGCAGACACAATGGAATACTACTTGGTTTTTCAAGAAAAAGAAAATTCTGTCATTTGCAACAACATGTGTAAGCCTGGTGAAATACATTATGCCAAGTGAAATAAGTCAAGCACAGAAAGACAAATGGAATCTAAAACAACTGAACTCATAAAAGCCCAGAGTAGAATGGTGGTTATCAGAGGCTGAGGGCTGGAGAGAACAGGGAGACATTGCTGAAAGGGTACAAAGTTTCAGTCAGACAGAAGAGTGTCTTATTTATTTTGTTTTTATCTTGAGTTTCTTTGACTGTTTTATGTATAGTTTATATTCTTTAATTAATAATTCCACTGCTGAAGTCACTGGGATCTGAGCGGGCTGTGTGGTGTGACTCATGCATGCTTGCATCTTGAGTGTTTTCTAGTTTTGGAGTGTGAGCTCATATCTGGTAGAAGAATGTTCAGTAATTCTGCAGCCTCAGGGAGTGATGCTTTCCTTCAGAGAGGATTTGGCTTGACTACTTTGACGTTGAGGGGTCACTGTGGATGCTACCAGGCTGCCCTTACGTCAGCACCCTGCAGGGTCCTGAATTCATATACGGGTTGCAGGTTCAGTTTACCCGCCTTAATGGAAGCGCAAGTCCAAATTTCTGGATTCCTGCACAGAAACCAGTCATTTCCCCAAGACAAGGCCAGCTTTTTGTTGGTTTGTTATCCAAAGTCTGGTTTCAGCTCTCGGGTTGTTTTTGTTTTTGTTATTTGGCCTGTGCAGATTTTTCTTATTTTCTTGCTAGCCAGCAATGAATTAAACAGTATGCTTTATACATCATTATATTGTGTATGGTTGCGTATTTTATTGTAACAAGAGGATCTGTCATAACATATAACATAGAAATACTCCAAGACCCTGGAGTTCATCTTTAATTACTCATTTTGCACTTACCCCCATGTATTTATTTATTTAATCAGAAAATAAAATATACAGCATCATTAATCCTGAGAATTCTGAATAATGAAGTGATTGCATGGGGGAACTCCTTCAAGTTACGGAGATTAGCCCTTGATGAGGAAAGCACTGTTCCATCCTCCCCTTGGTTTTGTTGACAGTAAATCACTGTGAAATGTTAGCATCTGGCATTGTCTTTTATTCTACAAAAATGATGTTTTTGGATGGCTTTAAACAAAATTTAAACCCAGCTCAAGTGTTGTGAAGCACTTTTGAGACTCTAGGTAGGGCTGTCTCATTCAGCAGTAACTGAGGATACCTGGCGCTGGAAGTTTTGACACGTGGCTGTCTAGATGGGTCTTTGACTCTTGCCAGTGCTCCTGCCTGATAACTGGCATTCTCCTTCATTAGATAACTCCCCTGCATCTTCTTCAAGTTCTGCTGGGTCGTTACCACAAGACTGTAACTTCATATAGATGAGACGTGTGCCTTGGCCTGTGTGCCTCATGAGAAGGTCATGTTTGGAAATCATCCAGTATAGTGGGTGAAGTCCTGGAGTGCAAGAGAACAGGATTATGGGTGTGCACAAGAGATCACATCTGTATATGTGATGCTGAGGATCTCACCCATCTGGGAGGACATCATAGAGGCAGAGGCGTAAGAATTGAGCATTATAGAATAAGTAGGAATTACCAGGTAGGGAAAAGGGGAGATGAGAGGCCATTAGTAGATAAAGCAGGTTGGAAAGGTTTTGCAGAGGAGATGATGTGGAGTAACATACCCATCTTCCTGTGACTTCATTTTTAATGAAATCACAGCTGCTGTGTCCCTCCTGCTCATACATCCATGCCCCTTTCCCAGGGCCATCTTATGTTTTTCTTGTCACGTGGACCTCGATGCTGAGGCCCCAGTGTGTGAAGGTTCTTTCTTTGTGGGCCCTTGGCTTCTGCAGCATCCTTCGGTCCTCAGAATGCAAACTCAGTCCTGCTGTTGCCTGTAGCCTGGTTGTGAGTGCTGGCGGCCTCATTGTGTGGCTTCACCTGTCACCCTCTGCAGCAGAAGCAGGGAAGACACTTCACTTTACTGCGGGTGGCCATCGTCCTTCTCATTTTTATTAACTTTACCCTTTCTCAGTTAGAGACTTGGTTCGTATTGGTGTCACTTTTCTCTCTGTAACTTGAGGATTTCTCTCTCCTTTGTGTCCTTCAACCTTCCTGTTCTCTGTGTACCTTCCCGCATGGCAGGACTATTTCAGAAACACAAGAAGGGCACACCTGGCATTGCCGTTGGAGTTAAGGATTTCTACTCAACAAGCTGCCAGTTTGTCTGTGTCATAGATTGCTTTTCCTTTTGCCACTAAAGCCGAAAAGAAGACTGGTGTATTGACAAGGATTGGACCTCTGAGGCCTCCTCCTGTCTTTTCTTTACATAAAAATATGTTTGCTATGTCCATGTTCACAGCGGCATTATTCACAGTAGCCGAAAGGTAGGAGCAGCCTGCATGTTCAGTGACAAATGAGTGAGCAGGCAGTTGTGGTCTGTACACACGATGGAGTGAAATTCTGACACATGAGTCTTAGAAACATGCTAGGGGAAATGAGCCAGACACAAAAGGACAGATATTGTGTTAGCACTTCTGTGGGGAGCATGGAGTAGTCAAGTTCACAGAGACAGAGCAAACACGCGGCAATGATGAGGATGCTAGATTTGATACCACGTTTATCTTGCCATGATGAGTTAACAAATGTATCCAAGGGAAGATGACTTGGAGAATGTCATCTCTCTCCAGGGACCATTATTTAGAGACTTTGTTTATTCAGGCATCCATTCATTCAACAAATGCTGCATTCCTGCCATGTCCCAGGTGTGTTTAGATGCAGGCTACAGCAGGGAACAAACAGCCATCCGTCCTGGCCTCCGAGCACACCAGTGAGCTGAGCCGTCTGACAAACCAGTGAATAAGGAAACATATAGGAAGTAAGAGGGTGAGACCATGAATAGGACTGAGCAAATGAAGGCCAGTGGGAGGGAGGAAGACAGGGAGGCTTGCAGGGAGGCAGGGCAGGGGTGGAGCATACAGAAACCTTGTGCAGGGCTGCATGGTACACACGGAGAGCATGGGTTCATCGTGCTCTGGGCTCTCTGAGATTATAGCTCCCTTAGCCTTGAGCAGTAATGAGATCTTTGTAAATCACACTAGTGAGTATTTGGCATCGATGACATAAGCAGAGACTTCCTCTTTCCTCGAGGGTTTTCTGTTCTGAAATTTATGCAGACATCTCCTTGCAGACATACACGCACACACATGCATATGCATGCCAACACTCAGCACAGGATCCTTCCAGCCCAGCTCCCCCTTGTGCCTTTTCTGAGCGCCTCTGTCCTGTTTTCCTGGGAAACAGTCTGGGCACCATAGACATGAAGGTGCCCGATAAAGGGAAAGGTGGGCTCTGGGAGCAGCAGGTGTGAGGGAAGCAGGAGGGTGAAGCCAGGAAGGGATGAGGCAGTGCAGGCTGTGTGCCTGGGTGGCCCCCTCCCCACACCCAGATGCCCGCCACACGCCGCCTCTGCAGAGATGCTGGGCTGCAGCCTGGTTGCCACCTGGATTTGTGCCGAGAGGTTAACCTGTCATCTCTTTCCGGGAGCCTTGTCTCCCACTGGCCTTGGTGTTTATCACAAGGAAGAGCTGATCTGGGTCTTCTGGGTGGCCCCGACAGTAGCCAGCACCTCCATGGGATCCCCCACCAATGGGTTGGACCTGGCTGGAGCTCTGCAGTTTGCAGAGTCTCCTCATGAGCATGTGGAATCATGACAAGGTGTCCTCAGGAGAGTCTGAAAGAACTGGCTGTGGGGGTGATGCAGGGACTCCCCTGAGCAAGTGGTTGATGCTGGGGGGGCAGTGGGCAGGTGACCCTAGCAGCACGTCAGCACAGCTGGCTTGCCTCTCTAGATAGGAGAGGAGGAGACTGGCACAGTAATAACCATGGCTGTGAAGCAGGTAAGCCATGTCCTAGCATGCACAGAGTGCCACGGAGGCCTGGCAAGGGCTGCCGTGTCGTTGTCCTCCTGATGGAGAACTTGAGACCTGGATGTGGCAATGCCTCACTGCAGTGGTATGCTGAGACCAGCTACAGCCTTCATGTCGCCCCTTTAGGAGATGGGGAGCTCACCTTCTGAATCTGGACTGGTGCGTTTTAAAGAGAGGAAAAGAACCCTTCAGTTCATCTCTATGAAATGTGATTTGATCCAGAAAGGCTTCCTCTGCCAAATTACTTCCAAACTGCTGTCAGCTAGAAGAAATTGAGCCACGAGGGAGTTATTTCACTTCCTCCTCAGGTCTGCCTCTCCTTTCTGTTTTTAGATGTAGTCATCTCTTGGGAAAGCTCAGCCATCCAGTCCTTTACTCCTGGAGGAGGAGAGGTTCACCTGTTGGTGCTGGGAAGAAGCCGGAGAGTGCTGGATGAGGGAGGGCTACAGTCAGACAAAGGAGAGGCCATGGAGGCAAACTTGCTGCCTCCATGATTTTGCCTTTGGGCCCCCATTCCAGCACTTGGGCCTTTTCTGGAATTTGTCCAGACTTTCCCTCTGGAGCAGAGAATGCTCCAGAATTGTTTTTGATAGGCTGGCCTGGCCTGCAGAGCTTCTGACTGGGATGCTTCTGGAGGGGCCCTAGGATCCAGTGAGTTTGTGCAGCAGGGCACGGATGTGAGGAGCGGCGTTGTGGTGCTGTGTGATTTCCATGTGTTGACAGGGTCCCTGGAGCTGCTGTCCTGGAGGCTACAGACAGTTTTGGGGCTGACCTTTCTTACCGGCCCTTCCCCTCCCCAGATGCCTACAGGTCTTCGCTTGCTCTGTGGTCCTGGATGTTGTTCCAGGCCGGGTATGGGAGTGCAGTGCCACATTCTCCATCCCACCAGCTAAACTTCACATTGTCCTCTTCTCCTGTGTCCCCTAAGTTGCCAAAATGTGGCTGCTCTGCCGAAGTCAGAGAAATGATGCCGTTTCTGTTGCCTGCTCAGAGCTGCAGAATTGTTGCTTAGCTAGATTAAAATGAAAGCAAGCAAGGAAGAACGACAAAATTTGAAGCAATCTTCTAGACACTGTGTATGTGCCGTGGGCTATTTTTGTTTTAAGGGCAGAATTGACCAAAAGCTCAGGCAAAGAGGGCCGCGTTGGGTCTGCCTGACGGGCAGAGCATGCATGTTTCCACAGCGGCTTCAGAAAGCCCAGCACTGACCTGCTTTTACTATTTGTATTGGCTCACTTGATGGTAGACAAACAGGCCTCATTTGGGGCCAATAGAACCAGCAGGAAATTTAGGTCATGCATAGTTGCCTTTTAAAAACTCTGGGTTTTGGAGGCTGTGCCATCACTGTAATTGATTGATGGTGACATGACAGCAAGAGCTCCTAAGTCAGCAAAGGTGTCTGGAGGTGCGGTTGAATGCTCGGTCCCCAACTCCCTGTGCCACCCTGCTCTGCTCCCTGAAGATGTCGCCTGACCCTCGTTTCACGCAGCTTACAGCCCAGCTGGTCTATTTACAGAAAACAGCTTTTAAACATAGCAGTTCTGTTTGAAGTACAGCATCACATCATTTCCCAAGAGACAGAAAAACATTACAAAAAAGTTTACATCCCTAAGCATGTGTGTCTCAGCTGCACAGTGTCGCACGTTGTTATTTCTGTCCCTCTCTAAGTCGAGGCCTTCGCCATCCCCACATAGTCTAATCCGGTCAAAGGTACATGGAGCCTGATTAGACTATGTGATGAGGCCTGGAAGCTTTGCAGGCTCTCCTACTCTTGCTCTGGATAAAGGCGCATCTGTCATAAGAACTCAAAGTAGGCGGCTCTACCCTTCCCAGGACAGAGATACAGCCTGATTTAAAGGCATTTTAAGAACTTTTCATTGAAGTAAAATACAATATAGAAAAGTACAGCTCAGGAAATTTTTACTAACTGGAGTCAGCTGTGTAAGCAGCACCCAGATCAGCCTATAAGTCTCCCTGCGGCCCTGGAGACCTCCTCCTCCAGCTGCCCTGGAAGTGCCGTTCCCCC